GATAGGGGCTTCCCAGCTGTCCTCAGAAGGGACCACCAATGAAATAGTTTGAACTCATGGAAGTTATGTGGTACTTACATGTATTTGGTATGACAAATCTCCCAACCACACAGTCAAAATGATTCACTTCATACATAATACCCATAAATATTCCAGTCTGTCTGAAAACCGAAAACTAATGCTGCTGCTGAACTCGATGTTAAACACTAACAAATACAAAACATGAGCATTGCTCCACATTACAGCAGAAATAAAATTCCATGGGATGCATTTAAAAAAAATCAGGGAGGTAATGACACTGCAATAACAAAATAACACAGGTAAAATGGTAATGGATAAATTTAATAAGCCACTATGCAATTACACTCTCAATATATTACATCATAGTAACCCTGCCAGTGAACTATTATGAGTAACTCCCTGCATGTGTGTCAGTTGATTACACCATTAACTATTCAAGTTTACAAGTGCTTATTAATAATCTGGGCATTGTTTACCCTCCTTGTGTTCCATTGGCAAGAACTATAAGGGCATGGGACCAAATACCATCATTATGCCAGTTAAGCCCGCTCCCTGGGGCAAAGAGGCTGTGAAGGACTTTGGGAGAAATTAAAACACCAAGGAGAGCCAACACAAGTCAATGACAGCAAGGTCACGGGCATAGCCACGTCATGATTTAAACAATGCAGGTGAGGTGGAACATGCACTTAGCCAGGGTGTTACCAAAAAGAACTAAGAGGGCTGGAAGTCCTGTAGTGCCAAACTAAATGCAAACACAATGCAACCAGGCCCCTGAAGCCCACAGAGCACGTGCCTGACTCCTTCCCACATAAACAAGGTCTACAGGGCCATTCACTTGCTGCTTCTGTTGCCAGCCAACAAAAGCAATGAATAGCTTTGTCAGGCTGTCATCCCTTTAAAAACAGACCTTTGCCAAGGGTTCTCAATCTGTTTTCACTAAGCCAGTGTTCATTATTGTCTGTCATTGTCCTCTTCATCTCATTGTTATACAAGGTATGGTAGTGGTGTGGCTCTGATGTCTTTTTAAAGTTGATCAAACTGACCAGATATACAAAAGTGACCTGTGTCCACCAGGAAAAGAAAATGGGATGGAGGGAAAAAGAATGAGAGAGAGGAGTTGCATGCAAACGCGTGTGTTTGCACATGTGCAAGGACCTTAAACACATTCACTGGTCAGATGATAAATGACACAGTTGTGCAGGGGCTAGAAGATTGAGAGAATAAGTGACACTCTCCATTTGCGTGTACTGTACTGTATGTATGTTTGCATGCCCGGTGCATAGAGATGAAAATAAGTACGGAATTGCAAGGATTCATATGGAGCCTAGATGAATGGTGAGAGCCAGGACTGTCTGCCAGCATTCAGGGATGTGTACATCATCTCTGAGGCGTTGATGGGCCCTAATGCAGAATAAGGAGGGCCAATCAACTTCTATCTATCCACTCTGCCAGGGTGACACATTGTAGGGGTACTTCAAGGCCAGCGCACTGCCACATTCTGCTGACAAATCATTACATTAGACATGTCGACGGAGAAAGAAGATAATAAGATTGAGTTACAGAGTTTTAGATGCATTATGAACACCTCTTGCTTCCTTGATTCCTTCTATTTTCACTATTCCTTCCATTTATCAATTCCCACTTGCGTGTCACCCATCTTTGCAAAATGAGGCTAAGGAAGAATTCTGAATTGAACTAAGTTTTGTAGTGTTTTATTTTCCTTGTGTCAAGTGCTACAACACCAGTTAAACTGAGCCACTGTTCATCAGAGCCCCTAATCAGCGTCAATGAATACATGCAAGCTTTATAAAACTGCAAGCCAGGTACAGTATATCAGTGTTCATTAGTTCACATTTATAGAAATTGATTTTAAAAAAAAATGCTCAGTAAAGTCAAGAAAAACATTGCTATGAAACCAATAGCGTATGTGCCAACTTTATTGACTAATATAAAAAATTGTATATTTAGCTACTAATAATGGCACTTAATAATGGTTTTCAAATCAGAAAATACTAAGCATTTTCATCATTTCATGCCTGTTATATCTATTATAATAGTTTAGTGCAAAAGCAGCAGGTGACACCAAGCCACCAAACTGTGAAAAGTAACTATCAACTAATAGAGAACAGTAGTACTTAAATAAGGGCTGATCAAAGGCAATATAGGTTTCATCATTCATCATCTTGCCCAAGCCATGTTGACACATTTTTCTACTCTGTATGAGTGTGCAGTTGTCCATGTGGATAAATGGTGATTGGCGTGCGGCTGAAAGTGGGTGGTGTAGAGTGATTAATCAGCATAATGAGTGTAGATGAGCACTGTGCAGATGGAGCCCACACTCAGGACTGTGTTGCCCAGCAGGAAGTCTCTTTGCTTCCCTTCAGTGCCTCTGTATAGATCTAACTGTATTTCTTGGGCATGTGTCATCTGCTTCCTTGTTTAATTTGTGAGCTCATTTGTACATGATTTTGTTCTATAAACATCTAACCGGTATTTCACCAGGAAGTTTGTGTAATTATACGATCAGCGATAAATAACACTATTCGTATAAATAAAGATTGTTTCTTTATCTTGTTCAGAAAACAAAAAGTGCTTATACTGGTGTAAAAACCTAGGCAAATTGTGCTGTCCATCAAAAACAAATACAAAAACTGAAATGAAAAGAAAAGGCCCAGCAACTGTATCTGGCATAAAAAGTCTGATTAAAGATCAGTTCCTTTGTAAAATAACATTTCACAGGCAGAAAGATTAAGGAAAACAGCACCTAACTTTAACTAATAAGGCTGTGTGAAAAAAGTGGATCCACCTCTTTAACAAAATGGGAACAAATTCAGTAAGCCCAGCATCATCACATGGTGCAAATTATTTAATAAAATGTGCATTGTGCATGTTTTTCAAAGGTTTCTGAGAAGTGATCCGCTCACTGTAAATGAGAGAGCATAAATACATTAAGCCTGCAGGTAAATGTAGGAAAATTGAGTCATTCTGACTATTAAATACAAAAAAAACAACAAAAAAAACACACACACAAAAGCACTACATTGAAAGTAAATAAACAAAGAGCTCTGTCCTAATTTTCCCGTCCAGGTTTACTCTGTCCTTAGCGTTGTTATCTCAGAGTCAAAGACTTGCAAGATGTGGTTTGCCTCTGTACTGGTAAGTTAACTCAGTTGTCCTCATGCCTCCCCCTTCACTTTGAGACACTAGCTCAGTTCCCAGATGCTTATGCTGACTCACACACTTACTCTCACAAGCCTTGTTGAGCCTGCCTCTTTGTTAGCAGCCTCCCTGTCCTGCTTCATATTTATTAAGGAAGGATATTGAAGAGGTAAGGGGGGCAACAGAATCCCTTTCAAAGAGGGTGAGTGGCTGCTTCCATGTGGAAACAAAAACATAATTTATCCCTGACCACCTACCATATCCCTACAACAATTTATTCACATGCATTTTTAAACAGTGAACAAAAGGAACTTGAAGGTTACAGCAGATCCCTGCATCATAGTGACTGCATCACTTCAGAGAAAATGCGAGAATGGGTGGTGTAGCTCTTTTTCTTGTCTGGGTTTGTTTGTTAAGTTTGTCCATTATTTATTAATCACAGTCCTTTCTAGTTTATCAGTTCAGTGCCATGTCTGTGACTTTGAAATTACCTAACAGCCTTGACAAAAGTTTCAACTAATAAAGTGCGTGCTGATACACCAGACTACTGACCAGTTTCACCAGTGTATTTGTTGTCAGCAGCTTTGCCAATTTAATAGTAACTTGCTTGGTGGTGGGAGGAGTACTTTGTTTCCCTGTAACTTAATCAGACTACTGTAAACCAGTCCAACCATTGGTCTGGTGGTCTGGGGATGCAGCTGCCCTGTTGGCAGATACTGAGCATTTTTACTTTGCTACAGAACGGCTGAAGGTTAGAAAAAGGTCAACACCTTAACTTCCTTTCCGTTTCACAAAGCAGAGGGGGATCTTCCATCTAATAACGTACACTCTGTACTTTCTGCCAGATTGCCAGCCAATTAAAGGTTATCAGAGCTCAAAATAATAGTCCTGCAGGGCAGCTCTCTAGATAGGCCCCATCTAAATATATATATTGGTCCAACATCTTTTATGAGTGTCTGGAATCCAAGCAGTGGGGAGAAAGCAGACTACTGTGCAAGTGTATGTTGATAAGCCATGTGGGAAAGGACATATATCTCAGTACAAAGGTAATGTTTTTATTTATTTATTTCCCCAAGGTAGGAAAGACCTTTGAACTTAATCTGCACTTGCCAATGCCCACTGCTGGTTTGAAAAACTATATAAAAATATTCTAGCACACACTCATGCACACAACACAGTGTATCACTGCAGAGATTATATTGAAATCAAATCTGTTTTTCGCTGTTCACTCCTGAGGTCTACACCCTCTACAGGTCAATTATACAGAAACAAAAGATAACGAGACTGCAGTAACGCTTGACATGAGGACATAGCAAGAAATATTAGTGCTGATTGAAGCTCATACTGTTCCGGCAATGCATCTTCACCTCAGATAAACCCGCCCTGCTTTCAATTAATGCTTCAGAGACAAGAAAACAGAAATAAAACAGGAGCAAAAACAACTACCCTTTAGGAGGCTCATCAATCATAGTTTAAGACAAAGGCAAGAGGAAAGGAGGGTGGAGTTGGGGAGACTTTGCCCAGTCTTGTCGTTCATCATCCATTATAAGAGGATGAATGGGGGGGGGGGCTCTATGGTGCACATGAGAATGAGGAGACTGACTTGTGCCAAAAACAGACCATACCAAGCTTAAAATGGGGTCACCTAGCTAGCTGCCAGACACTGAAAATTTTAAAGTTGTCTTTTCACTTGAACATGTAGAAAAACTCACTCCATCTCACACACTCGCAGTTTTCAGAGGATAAAAATAAGTGTGTGTTTGTGTGTATGTGTGAGACAGTGAAAAAATCTAACACACCACACTGAACATCAGTCTTACCTGGATGAGTGATTCGCTCAGTCTTTCCTCGTCTACCTCCAGCACAATGTCCCGGATCTCTTCATAAGGCAAGCGGAACGAGCCCAAGAAAATTGCTGTTGTGATGGAGAGAGAAGAGAGTCATTTCCTTTCCCTTTTTTTTATTAGACTGTGGGGTTCAAAGAGACATTTCAGCACTCATCGCTCCTCAGACAAAATGACCACAGACCTAACTTGTCACTTGGAAAAACTAATACACTTTCTGCCCCTCAACAGGATAGTTTGTGTCACCCTGACAAAAATTGGGAAGGAAAACATCAAGATTTACCAGTAAAAGGTGCCAAAGTAATACCATGTCTGCTTGACTCTTAATAAAAAGTGAGCAATAACAACTTAACCATAATAATAATAGTAATAATAATAATGTACTACTTGTACATGGTAGTGGTAATGTTTTCATCTGAAAGCTACATGGTTGTGTTTGGGTGGATACAAAGAAGCACTGTGAATTTGCCTTAGGGAACAGCCTAGTGGGTGTTTTACTCTCCAGGTGGGGTGCCTACAGTGGAAATTGGAGCTGATGGTGTATCCAGGTGGAAGTCACAGGTGGAGGTTTGGTAATGAGTTGGAGGAGAGTTACTCAACAGCTGCTATACTGCTGCAGCAATGGGACCTGATGTCTGTATTTAACATGCAACAAAAGAAGAGGTAGTGCATCCTTTTTTTTTTCTTAATTTATCTGTTACACAGACTATTTACTGCAATAACTTACTACACAGCTCATGTCATGTCATTACCATTGCTTTTGATTTGTTATAATGTATTTTTTATGCACTGAACAAAACTGTGTCAGGTTTTGTTGACAGTGACTCAGAACTGAAACGAAAGGAAAGTTTATACCATATAACATATATTAACATATTCTATTGGTAATCTGCATTTATGTAATTTTTTTGCTCATTAGCATGACATTATCCTGACCTGGCCTGATCTTTTCATTAAATGGAAAATGTTGTACTTGTTTGTTGTCTTTACACCTTACATTTATTATTGTCTCTTCAATATGCCCTATATATCCTCCACATATGAAACCAACAGCTGGATACAAGGTTCTCCTGGGGGTGGGCTGTCAAAGACAATCCTGGAGTATATTGTAAATTACACACTGAGGTGGATGTAAATGAAGTATGAGGCGAAGAATGACAGGCTGAAAATCCAACTTTTGCTGCCACCTATCAGTTGAATGTTTACCTTGCTGAGTGCTCTGTCACTGTTGGGTGTGGTCAGCCTGCGCCTGCACCTGTTATTTCCTAGATGCACACTAATCTAACTGTGGCGAAATGGGAAGTGGGCCAGGTGTGTTAATGCAGATTCTGCAGCACAATGTTATTCAGGTGGATACTTTGGCAAAACAAAACAAAAAAAACATCCACCTGCCAGGATCAGTTCTTATACGTTGCTCCAGTGAACTGGGCTATACTTTTTTATTTTTTATTGCTAGAGTTGTATGACAGACAGACAACAGTAGGATTGTCTGACTAGAGTCATGGCTCCTCAAAGTAGGATCCTAGTCTAAATGGATTTCTTTTATTCACTGTAAAAAAGTAGTCTATGCTTATTTACTGTTTTGTATTTCTTAAATTGTTTCTTTATTTAGTGATTGTGGCGAGAAAGATACTTTTTTTTAACTGTAGTCAAAGGAAGAATGAGTGGGATACCTGACACACAGGTTATGGAAATTGTTTAAAATAACAGTTAATTAGAGTTTACATTGGGAAGTAAAATTAGCTAGTAGTGTGAGCCTTTACAAAGACCTGCCAACACTTGCAAAAGCTTGTTTAAGTTTGCCTTTGTTAGCAACCACATTTTTAACAAAAATAATGCATAATCATTTGTATTATATTCATTTTTTCATGAACTATGAACTGACATTAACATATTCTAAGCAAATTTCTGTCAAACTTAAAAGAAAGTTAACTTTTCTCTTTGGTTTATACTGGCTCATACTCTTCAAGTTTTAAAGATCTTGCAACTTTGGGTGAAGTTTGATTTCACAGGGCATACTTTGAGCTTAACTTCTCATGAAGTATCATTTTCTGAACTCATTGATTTTTAAACATTTTAAGCTTACAGGAGGTCAAAATGATTGTTTTTAATAAAGAAAATTTCCAATCTGGCCTCAGTTTCTATTATAGCACTCAAACCCTGAGCTCTAGATTTTCTGATTGCTTTTAAATAAAGTCTATTTTTAACAATTGGATACAATTGTATCTCTTGGTTTGGGGTCCGCACTCAATACAATAGTTCACTTGAATTTAATTATATAATGGAAAAATGGCTAGTCATTAAGTACTTGGCTCTTGTTGCTGTACCCAGCTTTATGCTTCTCTATGATGTGGATCAAATAATTTAACCTGAGTCATGTCCTGTCTCTCAGATTGAAAGTCCTAGATGTCAGAATTTTCATCAGCTTAAAGAGTCCAAACGTGTTCATTTTACTCAGACTACTTTCTCTTCAGGTTCCTTTCACTTACAATGTGATGTTACTGATACAAAGAAAACAGTCTAAAATTTTGGTCTAATGTTTGTTTCCAACCTTTGCTTTAACAACCAAGTGACGAGGGTCATGCGATAAGCCTCAAAGCAGGATCGGAGTCTAAATGGATTTCTTTTATTCACTACAAAAAGTAGTCTAAGCTCATATCTTATCTCATGTCAGCAACTGTAATTCTCTTTATTCAGGTCTTAGCCACAAGTCAAATGCTAACCTGCAGCTTATTTCTAGACAGAAAGAGAGACAGACAGATAGGTAAGTAGGTACGTAGACACAATTTATCAGACAGTGGTATGCATTATCATTATACCAGAATACATAAAGTGGCACTGATATCACAATCATTCATTTTGTCCCTCTACCCATCCCAGTCACTGAACCTTCAACACTACCACACATCGAAATTGAAAAGGGAGCTTAGAGGGTTCCGAGGCAAGCAGTGAATATGATCTATGATTCTGTAGTATGTGTCAAGGCGACTCGGGGGAAACTGTGTACGACCACATGCCTCCCACCCAGTGCCATTCTGGAAGTGAGATTTCCTGCACTTATTTGTGCTTCCTGCAAAATCCAAAGCCCATCTGCTCGAGCTGTAATCAAAGACGGCAGTGACACCTATCAACATTGTCACAGCCTGTACACAAGTGCAATGACATGCGCAAACTGGCACATTTGCAAATGCGCACACAGACACAGACACAGACACACAAACACACACACACACACACACACACACACACACACACACACACACACACACACACACACACACACACACACACACACACACACAGACTCACACTCACACACACAAACACAGATGCTTCTATGTGTCATCCTCTCTTCATGCCACATGGCCTTTCCTGACATCAGACCCCAAAATTTTGTCTGATGATCTCATTCATCTGGCCTCTGTTCATGGAAGCTATCACCAGCACACAGGAAGGGAATTGGTTGTGAGGCACAAATTGTTGATGTACATGTATCCCTCAGCTTATTTTGACATCTTGGTTTGCTTCCAATCCTCACCCACATTGTACAATTTATCCACCTATAAATATACTCATCCCAGTCTATAGTATGCCACTGCATACCCCTCTCCTTGTCCTAGAAAGGAGAGGGGTATGAAATACATGGATAAACACAGGGGTGGAGTGGGGGTTGCAAGGAGGATGACCCGGTATCTAGCATTTGACATGCATATTTCATGAGGTGTCATCATCCATTGAATCACTGAGGTAAGGGATATCAAGGCTGCAGATGAAATCCCAAAGAGTTGGGAAAACAATAAGAAATACTCTACCCACCAATCAACACAACACAACCAGCAGTCGCTCAGTTTTTGTATTTTGAATTCATACACGCATTTTATGGATTTAGGATCAAGCGGATTCATACAGAAGAGAGAAGGTGCAACGGTTCAGCTGTTAGTGAAATTCTGAGACCGAATGATTTTTTAGAGCATTTGCTTGCAACCTGAAATTAGCCCCGAACAAAAAACCTTTCTAACTACACATTTATTCCACTTAGGCCTCTGGGGGTTCAAACCCCCTACATGTAGCTTTGGTGTTTACCTCTGATAGGAATTTGCTTTACACATGATTACAGACAGGGAGCTTGGACACAGTTGTGACAACCGCTAAACAACTGCCAAGAAAACATTTCCCCAAAGGGCTAAGTAAAATTCTATCAACGTTAAGGACGTTCTACCATTTCTTTCTCACAAACAGCTTTGTTGATCTGTTCATGCTGGTATGAAACGCCTGGAGTGTCATGGAAAATAACACTGACATTTCTGACATAAAAGGTCATGTTAAAAAGAGTATACTACTTCATGAACTAATGGTGTTAAACATGTTATACATGTGGTTATTTGCTATAAAATAATAATAAAAAAACATAACTGTATATACTTACAAAGATTCTGTGCTGTCTTAGCATCCAAGATTCGAAGCTCCTTTGCCTTTTTCTTGAATTGTTGCATTCTGTCGTCAGTCTCATCTTTCACGTCTTTTTTCACTGCAGGGTAAAAAACAGTATTTTCAGAATTACTATGTTCACAGTTTGGAAATTATATGCAATTTAACAAGAATATACAGTGTGCTATTTAATTAAATTGTTACACTGCCTGTTTTCAGCACCGTAAACAAGCAAAAATTAAATAACATTCAAAAATATTTTTGAACTTTTTATACAACAAAGTGAAATAAATCATTTAGATACATTAGAATGCAAATGCATTTATGCATATTAAAACATGAGCCGACAGGCCAAGATGCGTTAGATGGCAACAGATGGCATAATCCAATTAAAAACCATAGCTTCCATATCAGCAAACTTCAGCATTTTGCTTACTTATCACTTTTCTCTTAATAAAAGGCAAAAACAAAACAGCTACTAGTTGAGTTACTACTGGTGAAATAACTGGTAGGCAATTTAATTGATCAACTTTATGATGTGTCCTACAATCAGTACAATAATTTGAAAATACACTGAATACAATGTATCACATCCTGTGTCTTGAACAAGATGTTGTACTAAATAGATAAAGCTTCTATGGGAAAAATGTGTAGGTATTATGTCACAATTTTTTCTGACATACCACATTGTTAAAGTTACTGTAAATGGCATCATTTATTGTTTTCTTAGTGTCCAGCCTTACATCCCTAAGACCTTTACATATGTGGTTTAAAATGAAGTTGTTGAAAGGGGGATGTGATTGATGACAACCCCCTTGAACATCATGTGGAATTACATAAAGTGCAATACCATCAGATGCAGCATCAGAGCACAGCCCTGTAATGACTTTGTTTGTGTGTGCCAACATTTCTGTCATAGTGACAGTGGGTAGATGCTTGATAAGCACAGTTCCTTCCCTTAGGCCCTGTCTGTCAACTTGCTTGGGCCAAGGAGATAATTGTGTTACCCCCCACAATCCCAGAAAATGGCATTAAGTCTCTGTTACGTGACTGAACGCAACAGACAAATTGGTCCAGAGAATGAAGAGACCTTTGTTTTCATAACGGAGACATTATTAAGTCCGCACTATGGGGAAGCGCCACATGTCAGAATGTATTACTCTTCATTTACATTTCAATAGCATCAAGTTTGTCTAAAAACATAGGTGTCCATGTACAGAATGAAAGGTCAACATTTTTAAACTGGTACTGAGGAGGGGTCAGTGAGATAGAAGAATGGAGGAGAGGTGATGTTTTTTTTTTACAATAAAGAAGCAGCAATGTGAGAAAAAAAAGATTCCTTAGACCCTTCCCTCTCCTCCTGGTGGCTTATAGAAGAGGCAGTACACTTTTTTGCTAATCATCACAACTGCTCTGTTTAAACCCAAGGTGGGAGTCTCCTAGGATATGTAGAACAAACAATCTGTTCCCATAGCGCTGGCTTGCATATTTGAAGAAACAATCAAAGAGGCAACATCTCCTGGGCAGCCAGAAGAAGCAATGCTGAAGGCACCTGCCTAATTCCAGTGCTTGCTGTCAACACATGACATCAGGGATGCAGTTGTTTACCGTATTAAGTAGGGCTAAAAGCATGTAAGTATATACCAGTCTGACATACAGTATTATGGTTCGATTTTCTGTCAACATCTGAGGATGTTCGTATAGAAGCTTACAGCTGATTTACCTTCAGACTCAGTGGACCTCAGAGTTGCACATTGGACAAAGGTTTTAACTTTTATTTTTGTTAGCAGAAGCCTTGGGAGTTGCTCGCCAATTAATGTTAAGATCAGGTAAGAAATAATGTAGATGTTCTGATGATACATACAACCCCTTGCTCAGTGTTTGACTGAGATAATGGAGTCCCAGACACTTGACTTGGTTTGTTTCACCACGTGTGTTATTTTCAGGTACCATGATGCCTTTGATTTTACAAGACTGGCAAATTTATGTATTTTCATGTTTCAATGTCAGCATCGGAATTCCTCGTAGTGTACCAAATAAGACAGACACAAAATAAATATTTATCACCTTATAAATAAATCCAATGACAACAACATTACATCCACAATATCCTGACTCAGTAACCAGTAAGACCCAAGAAATCATGACGGATTTCTTATGTGGCAAGGGCCCTGGACAAAGAAACTGGAGAGCCAGCAAAAATAAAACATGAGGAAACAATGATCCCCCTGACAGAACAGCTCACAGACAGAGGGCAAATTAAACTGAGAGGGGGAATTTGGCTGCTTTTGGTTCTAAATTGTTCTCTTAAACCTCCATTCTCTTTTCTCTACTGCCACTTGAATGTTTCACCTAGGTACGTTACACTCTCAGCAGGGTGCTCTGGGCCCATTCGTCAGTGCCTCAGCTGTCTTTGCCCTTACCCCAGGGCCCCACGCTATCTCAAATTAAAGAGAAAAACAGTGCCTTTAATAATCTGAAACAGGCACATTCCCCTTTCTGATACCATCCTATACAGCTTAGAGCTCTCCCGCTGAGCACTGAGTAGTGGCATCAGTTGGCTTATTTTTTTTCTACAGAATTGGCTGGCTGACTCAATTATGCCACATGTCACATGTTTCCTCTGAGCACTGCATGTGGACTGATTGGCCCTGGAGGGCTTGCACACATTCGTGATGCCACACAAGTCAGAGTTCCAGGTATGTGGCGAGGATGACCATAGGTGGCACATTTCAACCAGATGGCTCGTCAAAACAATAAAGTAAGTTTTGTAAATGTCTCCAAAACACAGGACTTGTAAGTTTATTACAATAAATTACATTCTCAACATGGCATAAGACTTTGGGCAGTTCAATTTTGATGAAAGTTTTTGTGTTGTTTTTTGCAAATGTATGTCCATCTACTTTTTTTTCTGCCAGAAAACCTAACCTGTTCAACAGTGTAGGTCCACAACAGCTGATCCAAATCCTTGCCAGTTTTTAAACGTGTTTTACTAGTTGCCCAGTGGCTAAAATGTAATACTCTGACAACAATGGCATCTTTCTTGGACAAATTTTTATTTGCTAATTAAATCTTCCAAGCAATCACACAGTGATGAACCATTTGTGACGGGTACAGTGGGGGAGGGTTTTCTAGCATCTCGCTGGTTTCCTTGAAGCAATTGTATACAATTATGACATTAAGTTACATCACATAGAAATACATTATTTCTGTGTCAGGTTGTCAGAGCATTACATAGCTTCTTACATCTTAATTACAAGCTAATACCAGCAGCACAATTGTTTGTTAATTGTTGAATGGAATAAGGTGAGGGGCTGGGACAGTAGTGTGTTTTTATCCAGGCTAACTCAGTCCATCAAAGACGGGAAGAAAGCTGTTGAAAAATGAACAACAACCTCTAAGTTTTGCACCCAATGTCTTATGCAGAGCTCAACCTCTGCATAGCTGATTCTTGGGCCAGATGGTCTTCTCAGGGAAATAATAGGGTCAAATGCTTTTGACTTGAGATTGGCCATGAAAGCTTGAGAGGAGAAATACAACAATGAATTATAAATAGTATTTCACAATGATTTTTTTTTGTAATATATTAACTTTCAAGGGTGAGTAGCTTTGAGGAGCATGTCAAGGAGGAAGTGTTTCTAAATCATGTTTTAACAAAACACATGAAAGAATCACTGGAGCCAAAATAAACACATGAAGAGAAGTCTCTGGTGACTTTAACTGGAACACATTCCATTAACTGAGGGGGAGTTAAAGCTTCCTTCGTGCCAAAAGGAGTCACCAAATTGATAGTGGTCCCATTGAAAAAATACATGAATGTTTGAGCAAAAACAGATTTGGCTTATTAAAGATGACTTGGCAACTATGTTAAGCCTCCTCTGTGGGGCTTGGACTGAGGTATACCCTTGGGAGGCTCTGTGATAAAAAGAGTTCTCCAACACTTGGACATTCAGTCTGTTTGCTGGCCCAGAATCACTATCCTGGTTGCTTTCCATGAGATATCTCCCTCAAGACGTCCATAAAACCCAGGGCAGTACAAAGCTAAACACTACCACATGTTCACTTCCGGACTCAGACCATCCGGCTGAGCCCCGCCACCAGACACCATAAATGAGTGGGCCTTGAAAAGAAATAAAAGAAACTGCAGATGACAGGTCTTCAACAAACATATTTAAAGGCAAAGGAACACAGAGTGGAACAGACAATGTGGAGTCTGGTCCTCTACGAGGCAATTTATTCCCTCAAATGTGCAATCTGCCTGCAAACATGTGCCCTGTCCTCCATCTCAGGGACTCACACTGAGGATTGAGCTGCTAGAGAGCTGCCAGCCTGTCTGAAGGAGATGGATTCTGAGGAAGAATCACTGGCCTCAGACATGCCTTACCCACAGAAATACCATTTCCACAGAAGTGTTTTATGTTACACACACGCATCATATATATATATATATATATATATATATATATATATCAAGAAACATTTTTTTATTTTTTTATTTTGGCACAACTAAGTGAAGGGGTCTGAATACTTTCCAAATCCACTGACTGACTAGCTAGCCTTGGTATGGCTACATACAGACATATATACATATGAATGTACCATGTGACACGAGTGAAATCCAGCAGTGACCCATTTCTCCAGTTGACTAAGGCTAAACAGAGGTCTCTTTCTCAACCCCAAAGCCAATTTGCTGTGTGGATACACACCTCTCCATCCACTTGATATCTTGTATCTCAAAAACATGCTTCCACTTACACTTAAAAGGCAATCACTCGCACTCTGATAACTGAAATCATTTCTCTCACTTTCAGCTTAAAAACATGAAATGATTGTATATGCTAAAACAGGATACCAAAAAAAATCAACAAATTCAGTGTGAATGAGGCATAACACAGGTAACAAGATAAGTGCCACTTAGTATGTGGATAAGTTTTTGTTTTTTTTAATGTTTAAACAAAATACTTGGATACCTCTCAAAGCAGCAAAATACAACCTCAAATTAGTTGTGTTATTGTTTTGTTTTTTTTCCTTTGTCAGTATCTAACCTTGTCATAGCAGGAACATTGAAGAAATACTTCTTGGCTCAAGGTGAACTATTAG